CTAGTTTGGCTACCAGTATAATGATCTCAAAGCTGGATTTAGTAAGCTTTATAATCAGTAAATTATTACAAAAGTAAAATTTGCTCAAATACTTGACTTGTAAATTTTATTTAAAAAAAAAATAAAAAGAAGCTTTGGAAATTCAACCTTAAGAAAAATAGGGTATCAAAATTTACAGTCGTAAATGCTCTTGTAAATGGTACGTCTGAAATTTAGACTTTGAGTGATTTAGAATTTTAATATAACAGGTGTACTTTTTACCTGTTCTGTGCTGCTGTTCCACAATTACAAAGACATATTTTATTCTTTGGCATTTTGCATGTGTTCCTTTTTGGCTCAGGAATAATTGCTGTGATTTTAGGAAATTGCCAAGCCTGATATGGGAGCTTAGAAGAAATAAAATAAGATAAATTTTTAAGAAGAAAAATCAATTTGGTAACCCTAACAGCGGTTGCCTTTTGGTTGACAGGGAGATTTTAAATTTCTGTAACACTGTTTTGAAGTCAGGTTTTTAGTTGCTTACATTTGTAGTGAAAGGGGCATCATATATGCTTGCCTCTTTTTGTTTGGGATTTCAGTAAGTCTCAACATAGGTGAGTGTTACATCTGATCAACAAACACAGAAGATGTCCCAAAGTGATTTCTTTAGACTTTTCAGGAAAGCAATAATACTCTTAGACTGTGATGTGGTTTGGGATATTCTAGTACAATTACCTGTGATTGTGAATTGCAGAGCAATAATTTTTACAAAGCCATATTTTGTGAGGAAGTTTGGAAATAATTTTAGAATGGTGAATGGAGGACTTTTTATATAACAGTGGCAGCCTATTTGTAGAATTATGGGACTGTGAGAGTATATTATGCTGTGATCAAATCTTAAGTATTTTGTAACAAGGTATGTGATTTTACGTGCTTCATGTTTACAAAAATATGCCAAGCTGAGCAAGGTCAAGAGGACTATTAAAAAATGTATATTTAATCTGTTTTAATGTTTGGCAGCAATAAAACACAGAAGAATATCTTTGTCTTTCTAGTGTCATTATTTTTTTCCAAGATGTGGTAAATATTAACTATGGGGATAAATATTTGCCTCAGCCACTAATTAATATTATTTTTCAAAGTAATAATTTTGAATGTTTAAAAATAGATTTGAAAGTATTATTTACAAAGAGGAATAAATATAGCAAGTAGAAGTAGTTTTTATTTCTGGGTGGTATTATGTGAAGGAAATGGGCAATATTCTAAGGTCTGTCTCTTCTATAATTGTCTTGTGCTGCTTCTTTTGGAGTATTAGCTCTTCTGCAACCAATTTGGCCTGAATTTTGCCCATGATATGTAATTTCTATTTGTGACTTAAAATGTATGAGATATCACTCTTTAACAAAGGTGTATGTGTGTGGGCAGTATGATAGCTACCTTTCATAGAGAAATATTCTAGGTTATGGTCCATATTTTAAATCAGAAGTCTAGCAAGGCTATTATGTCTGTGCAGTTCTCTGTTTGAAAACAAAACTCTTCCGTGACCTTTTCAGTTTTCAAACACCTCCATATTCTTATGATGAAATATTGCTGAATAAATAACTGTAGTTTAAGAAGTCAAAAGGTGACATCTTTCTTTATGTTTTCACATGGCTACGTTGCTTCTTGCTGTATCTCAGTGAGTCTATGAAATCTTGGATTCAGTTGCTTTTTTTGGAAATCACAGGAAGAAATACCAATAAGGAAAGCAAAATTTAAATAAGAGTAGGATACTAAAGTTGTATTTTAACATTGAAAATTTACTACAATTTTAAGTGACTTTTTCACATTCTCAGTAATCGAAAAGGTATCATATCATGACACTGTTCTTTCTAAGAAGTAAAGAAAACAGATAAGATTGGATATTGGAAAGATACTGAAAAATATCATGTTTTTACTGAATATCATTGTGCAATTTTACGTGTTTCAAAAATTACATATATGTAAATAACAAATTGTATTGTACATTTATATTGTTGATTGGGAATCATGTAAAATCTACAAGGTATGAAATATGTTTTAATTGTGACTCAGATCATTGTCACATGCACTCACAAATATTTAGACATATGGTAATATGAAAAATAAATAGACTCTTTATAGTATAAACCTTCTTGGGAATACCTGGTGCATACGTTACACAGTGATGTGGACCCTTGAGAATGGATCCAGAGGAGAGCCACAAAGACAATCAGAGGGCTGGAGCACCTCTGCTATGAAGACAGGCTGAGAGAGTTGGGGTTGTTCAGCCTGGAGAAGAGAAAGCTCTGGGGAGACCTTATAGCACCCTTCCAGTACTTAAAGGGGGCTTACATAAAAGAGGGGGAGAGACTTTTTATAAGGGCAGATAGCGATAGGACAAGGGAGAACGGTTTCAAACAGAAAGAGGGGAGATTTAGATTAGACGTTAGGAAAAAATTCTTTACTCAGAGGGTGGTGAGGCACTGGAACAGGTTGCCCAGAGAGGTTGTGGATGCCCTGTCCCTGGCAGTGTTCAAGGCTGGGTTGGACGGGGCCCTGAGCAACCTGGTCTAGTGGGTGGCATCCTTGCCCACGGCAGGGGGGTCAGAGTTAGATGATCTTTAAGGTCCCTTCCAGCCCAAGCCATTCCATGATTCTACGATAGCAGTCCTAGTCTATAGAGATGGGTTAAAACAGTTCTGTCTATGATTTTGATCTAGATTTGTTTTTCTGGAAACAGAGAAACTGACTAAAGGGTGAGAGTGGTTTGAAGAGCTAAGAAAAATTTTTTTGTTTGAGCTACGATTGGTTTAAGTTGATGATAAAATAGTCTCAAGATCTATTATCCCTGTCTTTGAGACAGCACATTTTTAAACCTTTGTCAGAAACAGCATAATTAAAACCATTTGCACCATCAAAGTAAGCTAGGGATCAGTGTGGGGGGAAAAAGCAATATGTGCTGAATATGATGCTGAAGTGAGTTCTTAGTTAAGTACGGTGAGAGGCAAGAGAAACAAGATCTTCAGAGCTAACAAGGTCAACTTGTGATGAATTTCAAAAAGAGCAACCTAGAAGGAGAAGCTGGAGTATCTAAAGATCATTGGAGAGGCTTTGGTGAAATCAATGACAGCTAATTTAGCAGACTACAGGTTGAAAAAAGTCAGAGAGGATTTGGAGAATTGATCCTAGTACATAAATGGTTATAGAGAACTGTAGGTTATATGTTGCATGAGCCTCCATAATAAAGAAATGTGAAGCTGGACAAGAGATGGGAGATAGGAGCAGGCTTTAGAGTGATGAGCTCATTCCTTCTTCCTGTGATGGAAAAGAAGTTGCAGAAATAACATGGATGTCCAAGATGGGTGGAAGAGGATCACTGAGTGACCTAGAGGGAATTAGAGACGTCAGGTGAGAATATCAGTGTTGCTGATAATGGAGAAGATAAAGGGAAAATAGGTGGCTAAGTAGCATGCTGTATCATCGTTTACTATCCTGTAATGAATTGTTTGTGTGCTTTGAGTCGGTAAAAATAATAGAAATATGAGTATGTAAACCATCTGGAGCTGCATTATTGCTGTTTTTAAAATACAGTATTTCTGATGACATGCAGATGGACATAACCATTTTATTTATTGCGTGGTATGCACAAAAAAATAGAAACAAAAAAGCCAGTATGTTAGAAAGTACTGAGCAATGCTTTCACTAATACACTGTTATAGTAATAATATTCCTTCTCCAAGTGATCCCATACTATGTGATTGACTCTATAGATCTTTTTGTCATTTCTTTCAATTTACTTGACAATCTGGATTTTACGATGTAATTGAAGAGGTGAATGACTTTCAATGTGACCGTATTTATTTAATTTACCATATCATAATCAAGTTAATACTCATTCTGCCTTGTGCTGAATATTCAGTCGTACTGTCTGCACGTTCGGTAGTAGCAGTTGTCAGCTTGTAGTAAAGGGTGAAATTAGAATGTGAAATAGTTTGATTTAATGTGTGCGCATAACCCAATTTCTCCATGAAAAAAAGAAATTTTTTTCAGCATTTTTACATGGTGTATTTTATTCACAATATAATGCTTCTGAGCAGTCAGTTTAAAAAACTGTGAAAATTGAGTATTCTGTCAAGATGTCTCTAATTGATTTAGAAATTAAAGAAAATGTTCATATATAAGAATACGTCAAAATTAAAGAGTGTATGTTAGAGAGGAAAATGACTGTAACTAAAAAGCCAACTGACCTCTCATGTTAGTATTCTCTATTAAGTTTATTGGGAGGAAATATTGAAAGCTTATTGGGAAGAAATTGGAAAGAGAATGATAATGTTATAATTGTGAGGCAAGATGCTTTACGGCAGGATCAAAAAGTGTTTAGAGAGGAGAAAAAGAGGAGAGGACAAGCCTGTCTTTATATGTACCACCTTCACGATATACACGTACGTGATTTTGGTACGGTATGTAGTCTGTCTTTTGCTACAGAGTGTCTTGTGCTTATTTAACATTTTTACCTGTGCATTCAGATGTTTACAAAACACCTGGGTTAAATTATCTTAAAAGTGGAAGTAAGACAAAAGCTTCCAAGTCACTTTTGAAAATGAGACCTAGGTTCCGAATTGATTTTCGTGTTTTTTACATTTAATCAACTATATATATTAAGCTAGAGTTCCCAAGAGTTTTTAATTAGTGAACGATTTTTTTCCTTGCAAAATAGCTTGCATTGTAAGTGTGTATCACTAAAATCTACCAAATATCTAAAGGGGAAAGCTTATGAAATATTTTGTGACAGGAGCAATTATGTAATATTTGAAGCATCTGCAGAGAAAGGCCTTTTTATACTTTTATAACTATAGTTCAGACAGCAATCTAAGGTTACTTTAAAAAATAAATGTGAAACAAAAAAGTCCTGTTGGCCCAATTATATTTTGAGTATAAGCTGTAATTTTATTGTATCTCTTTCTTATGATAAAGTGTTAACATAAATTTATTTCATTGAAATTATATTTTTAATGTTCTAGGGAAAAGTGAAAAAGAAACTGAACAAGACAAAACAGAAAAAGGTAAGTCTGAAAGTAACATTCTGTTCTTCTGAAATTCAAAAGCCTGCTTTGTGGGAGGACTGATTTAAATCAGATTAAATAGTATTGAAGCTTAGCTCCTGTACATCTCGTGTGTAGATAAACTGGAGTTGAATAAACATCCAGAGTGCATCTGCTTTTGGAAGTAAACGCACAGTCGTTTCCAAAGCTGACAGCAATGTATTCCCCTCGTACGTGGTCACAGGCTGCTGTTAAAAACTTCTGCTGTTTCAGGAGTCAGATGTTCAGTGTTGTATTCCTAGTTTAGGACTCTGGAGGTCACAGCTTCACCAAGCTCCTCAGGTGTTTGTGGGTGAGAGGCAACCTGGGCTGCCCAGTCTGGAAAGCCGGGTTCAGCACTGCCTGTTGTGCTAAGCCTGGGGAGACAGGTGGCACTAAAATCAGTCCTCGTCAACTAAAATCAGTCCTCGTCAACTCCGTGTTTACCCAGTAAGGGTTTCTGTCTGGCTTAGGCTAGGTAAGAACATACAGAGGCAAGTTTGGTGGAAAAAAAGTGAGTGGTGCCAAGAGCGCTGTGAATCTGTTCTCCCTCCGCTGACATTGGTGCTGGCCCTGTGCATTCCCTGTCACTGCGTGAAGCTTGCCCAACCTCCTTTGTTGGGATCAAGGTTTGTATCTGCCCCTAGCTACATCACTACAGCTGGCAATACACAAAAGCTTCAGGGTCTGTACCTGCATCTTTTTCTCTCGGGTATGGTGCCTGCCATAAGTAGCTCCATCACTACTTCGAGATGGAGGAAAAGGGATTCAGTGACTCTGCTGGTGTCTGCTGCTCCTTTTTCATTCTCTGTTTGCATTTTTCTATGTGGGTGTTATTTTGTATTTGAGTACTTAGCAATGCTACTTTTACAATCTTTTGGTAAGGTTTATTGGGTTTGGTTTTGTATGTTTGTATTTTAAATATGAATTTCTAGGACTGGCAAACTTTAAATATTGTATTTAAGTATTAAATATGTCAAATGTAAGCATTACATTTAAAAAGTAAATATACCATTAGCCAGTTTGCTTGGAAAGCAAGGCAATTACATCCACATTTCCATTTATAAAAGGATTATAAAAGGAAATACCTTACTACACTAGGCTTACATACTTGATAGTAAAAAAAAACCAAAAAACCAAACACCATTATGTGCTAGTTTTATTGACCTGTTAGAACAGTAGAATAAAATAACATACAATAGCTATCCAGTATGGGTGAAAAGCATTCATAGGTAAAAATACTAGCTTGTTTAAGAAAATGAAAATGTACAGATTTACTGTTATGACTTGAAAGTATGACGAGGTGGAGCCGCTTTCCTTTTGCACCCTAAGTGCTGTGTGGTTTTCTTTCTTTTTAAACACTGAGCAACTAAATAAATTCTCCTGCTGACTCCTGCCATTGCAGATTACAGGAATTCTATAAATTGGAAAAAGATCTGGTTTTGTTTTCTAGGTTAAATTGATAAAATTTTGCATCCTACAGGGAAAAATAACCCTGCATTTTTTATGAAATTCGTTTATAGCTAAACGGCTTGTATGGTTTTCATGCAAGTTGAATTTTGTTGAACTGTTTAAGTTTTCATAGTTTGAACTGTTTAAGTTTTCACTTTCAATGAAAGTGTCTAGCTATAGATATCCTAGTCATAGAAAGTGGGTTAAAGTACTATTGAACTGGTTTATTTTAAATTACCCTAATAAGATGCAGCAATAAATGGATGAGAGATGTATTTAAAAAAAATACTGCACTGTGACTGTCTGGTATATGTAGAAAACTCGGAAATCTAAGGAGCTGGGAATCTGAAAATTCATGTTTGGCTTGAGTTTAGGGATTACTTATGATTCTGACAGTGCACAGAGATGTATGTGCAAGTCTGCGTTTTTAGATACTGCGACATACAAGCTCCGAAAGGCCTTCTGCACAGAAACTGTTTACAGCTTTGAGTGGATCTTACAACATATTAACGTTTTTCGCTGCTGTCTTCATAGTACTTTGTCAGCAAAATGTCTTAAAAATTCTGTAAATTTCAGTTTTTAATAATATTTCATTAAATTTATTAAAAGTCTCACTGAAACTTCTTCTATATTAACAGAAACTCCTCTGGAAACTCCTCTAAAGAAACAAAAACTAAACTAAACTCGTTTGTAGTGTACTATTACTTCAAGTTTCCTCTGTTATATTTAATTCAGAAGGATTTTTTTGTCTTCTGCATAAGAATGTGATCAGACTTTATACTTAAACAAGTAATTAAAATGGGATAGATGTTTCAGGTGAATCTGAGAAATAATTATTTAAAATGTGTCACAGGTAGTATAGTCCAGGGCATATATACGGTATCCATAAGACATCTTTCCATATGAGGTGGTTTTAGTTGTTTTTGATCACATAGGCTAACAAAATTTAAATTTAAGTAAGGAGCTTCATTTTTCTACTTTGGCTTATATTGGCATATAGTGAATATTCATTTATATTGGTAAAGAACGGATATAAAAATGGAATAATCATTTTCTGCGGTGAACGTGTTTCTTTCATGCACTGGACATCAGCATAGGTAATTACAATAATAATTTTCTCTTTTCAAAACTGAGAAAACATGAAAGTGAAGATGAATGCCATTTGGTTGGAGCACTCAGTTGTGTTCCATCAGGGACAGAGGTATACATAAGCCAGGCTTAGGACAATGTCATTCCACAACTGGGCCCTGCAAGTGTCATTCTGATACCAGGGTCAACATTCACTTTGGTTTACTCTAGCTGTAGACCTTGGAACAGGATATGTAGGATTCCACTGCGGTCCCAGTAGAGATCTAACCTGTATAACCTGTGGAGGCTAAAGTGCTGTTCTTTTGGCTAAATGTAGGTTTTTGCTGTAGGGTGACATGAGTTGTCCCCTAAAGTCCATGGAGAACCTTAACCAGAGCTCCACTGGCTGTAGAAAAAGCTTACATGCTTAGCTCACCTCCGGCATTGTCACCTCAAGTTAGGTGGCTTGAGTTCCACCCTTGCAACCACTACTTTTAAGGGTATACATACTACCTATTGATTTACTTATATATTTGATTGTAGCCTGCATCAAATATGAGCTGTGGGCAGAATAACTAATGTTGTACTTCATGGAAGTGTAGTTCTCAAAGTCCAAAACTGCTGCATAACACCATGCTGAACTAAATGTATAGCACCTTAGAATATTAGTGTGTATTTTTGTACAGAAAGTCAACGGAGAAATTTATTTCTGGTCTTGTCACAGGGTTGCTTGATTCTAGCCTTTTGAACGAAGCCAAAAGATTTCATGATGAAAGGGAGAGATGAATGATGGAAATACATGCTAAAAATAAAATTATCATTTTGCAATTGTTTCTTATGATCAACATCTAACCAACCAACAGTAATTTCAGACAGAAAACCCTGTAGAATACTTTTTACTGCAAGGGAAATTGTTCTGGAATAACTGCAGTTAAAGATTTATTATAGTCATTAGATTCCCCAGCTTTATTAGTCCCTAAAATGCCTCAGTTTTTATTGTCTGATTGCTTCCCCAGATAAGTTGATTATAGAGGTTTTGCCTGTTCTACCAGTACAATTTAGAAAGATCTTTTAATTATTGTAGTGCTACTGGCTTTAAATTGTCTAGACACAGTTACTTGTTTTTATACTTTCTAAGTTATCATTTATAGAAGCCCATAAAACAAGTGGATCACTTACGCTATCTGTATCTCACCTAATGAGCTTCCCAAACAACAGGACAATGACAGGAGTTTTTCATCATCATCAAATTCTCATTCAAGCCCCCACTGAGAGGCAGCCCAATTTCAAAAACTAATTTGGGTAATGATACGGGCCTAGTATGAGGAGGGAGGACAATTACTTGAGCAAATTTTGAATTCCAGGTAAAAGTAGTTGGTCTCCTAATATATATGTGTGTTTTTCAGCCCATAACTGAAACTTTGAAACTTGGACTGGGAAGGTGGGAGTATTTGAGGGAGGGGCCAGGGGGAATTAGTAAAACAGAAGGTCACAAAATTCATTGGAAAACTTCTACAGACCATGATTGTCAATATCTACTTATCATTGTCTTAAGGCGTCCATCCACAAGTTGCCAAGAACATTATTACTGAATTTGTATCACAGCAGGGATAGGAGGGTGTTTAGAAAACAAAGCCTATGGCTCCCTTGGAAATTACTTCCTTAGATTTTGACAGTTTAAGATTGAGAACTGTCAGGAAGAGCCTTCGCTGCGAGTGACTACGAGACCACATCACATGAGGAGGTTTTTATTCCAGACTACATTTAGAGATGGCACCTACCACTTGTTTATTTTTGTCAACGTGGGAGAGAAACAAGGAGACGTCATTATGTAGTTATACCCTCTACAGTTATATAGTTATAGCTTTTATTTAAAACTTAAATAAAACTTATCTGCTAGCGATAAGCACATCATACAGTCAGTGCAGCAGGATTGTTCCAGTTTAGTTTTCAATTAAAAAACTGGGGACCATGTGTCCTCAAGGTGGCTGTGAAGAACATGGTTTATCTTGAATCCTTATAAAGTAATTAACTAAAAGCCAGAGTCCTAGCTGCTTTCTGTTTTGCTTGCCAGTAGTAGCAGATGCAAGATAGAGGAAGCCACTGGGAATGCTCCCTTGACGTTATCATGACAATAGGAATAAATAAATAAATAATCTAATGACAAGAACTAAACCCCACTTGTGAGGTGGTTTGTTAGATAGGAAGCAGTGTCTTTCTATCCTCATGTTCTCTCCCCACGCCCTCAGAGAGATTGTGACATTATCATCTCGCCATTTCTGAGGAACTAGAAATTTCATTAGAAGACACGTTTAACAAGAAATACTCATGCTGATAGTGTAATATGGACTCTCGTAATCACAGAGGACTACTGACACTCTCCGTTGTCTACGAATCCTACAGCGTTAGTTTCCAAATATTAAAACGAGACAGGCACCCTTCCTCCCAGACCTCCAAGTTAG